GCCTGTGAGGGTACATCTACACCGCAGTTAAGCACTCACAACTGGCCCAGGTCAGCTGACTCGGGCTCATGGGGCTCAGGCTATGGGACTAAAAATTGCAGTACAGATGCACGGGCTGGAGACTGAGCTCTGGGACTCTGTGAGGGGGGAGGGTTCAAGATCCAAGGCTCCAGCTCAAGCCTAACATCTACACTGCAATTTTTAGCCTCTCAACCCAATCCTCACAAGCTGGCCTGGGCCAGCTGCAGCTGTGCCACGGGTCTTTTATTCCAGTGTGGACGTACCTGGAGAGGTATGATTAAAGGTTCAAAACGGAGATTGGGGAAAAGCCAAAGGGAGCAGTAAGATGAGCAGATTGGGAGAAACACAGGGACAGGGTGGAGGAGTAAGAGAAAATGAGACCAGAGAGATAAGTAGATCTTGAAGAGAGGATACGCAGTTTGAATTTGCTGTGGTAAGAGACCGATGGCCTATGAAATTACAATAGAACTGCCCCAAAGCCAAACACATCCAAACTAAAATGAAAGCAAAGTTGTATTGATTGCCAGGCAACCAAGGATCCTCTAGGCTTTTAGTCAGTCTTTTTTCCTGGAGCCTTTTTATTCAATATTTCATGGGGAGATTTCCCAATAACTTTGTACCAGAATTCTCATTCTGGGATAAATACACTTTTGCCAGCATAACACACGCAGAGTTTGCCTGAGGATGGTCATTTCTATTTCTATCATTTAGTCTATTTTTAAGCATGAAGTAGCTCTTTTCTAAAGCAATGAAACTGCACCCATGTTCTTTCCCCAAAATACCTTATTTCTTGGAGAAATGGGGGGGCTACAAATGCCTCTTACGTTCTGCAGTTGAAATAAATTCCTGTTCCTTGTCCAGGTGACTGACTGGTATTTCCTGAGCAATGGTCAGTCTCTAAGAAAGACTGATACAAATCTTTGTCAACTCAGAAAAACTTAACAGCAAAATAAAGAACTTCATTTTCCCTTTAAAAAGCTAAATAATGCATCTTTCACCATCATGTGGCTGATAATCCTCATCCCTTTGCATTGCGCCATCTGGAATTGCAGTGTTCTTCCTAAAAAGCTTACGGTTTTGATTCTGTGTCCTGCTGTGCTCCTTTTGATTTCTGTGGGATTTCTATGCATGTAACAGCAACAGAATCTCGCCCTCAAGTGTTTAAAAAAACAAAACCAGCACGGTGGGCTCTCAGAGTGAGGAAATCTCCACAAGGACCTTCTCACAGAGATGTCCCCCCATTATTCCGTCAAGGAGATGGAGTTTGCTCCTATGAGGGCCTGTCAGCAGTACTGCAGGATCTCAGAAGGCCATCTGCATACAGGCTGTGGACCCAGTGGCTACTCACCCTTGTCTCCCTGTCACGTTGGCTGCAAGCTCTTTCTCAACCACATCTGCCTCCATGAAAAAAATAATACAGACTCATCTTATCTAGGGATTCTCTGCAGGACAGGAGACATGAGGGAATTTGGGGGTCTCATAGTCTTGCTCTCCTCCCAGCCACCCCACATCTCCTGACCCAGCATGAACCTGCTGGACCATATGGGGAGGCATCAGCAAAATCTGGAGGGATGAGTATGGGGGATAAGTACTGCAAAGGCAGCTGAGCCTCTCCTCTATATGGAAAGGGGAAAATCCATGCAAAGAGCCCCCATGTAGGGATCTTGGAGGGAAACATCTGGTCTTGGAGCTCTGTTCTAACATAGTTTGCTCAGTTTTCCAGGCAAAGCAATTGTTTTTTGCCTCTGCTTGTGGAAATTACAAAAGGCACCATCTGTGATGCAGCACAAACAGTTCTTGGGGAGAGAGAAAAATGCTCACTAGCTGTAGTATGAACTTGTGTCTCCTTTCTTTGGTGCAACAGGTTATTTTCTAATAGCCAGGATATGTCTTGGAACATTAATGTGTGCTTTCCTGCTATAATCTAGTGTTTAGGGTGGTGGGCTGTTGTTTTGTGATGGGAGGCAGGGGTTCCAGGATAAACTAACTTCCAGTGTAAACTGGCTGATATTGGTAATTTAATCAATGGCTCTTTTGTCTGTAGAAATTGTTTTTCATTGATGCTGTTGCTAGTAAGATGTATGTCATCTAAACGCAGTCTGGAGCCAACAGTGCTTATAAAGGATTGCAAACCCCAGTGCCTACCTAACCTTACTCACTGTAATGACTTCCATTTTGTTCTGTTCTGTGTTAATACTTTACTTACTTACATGTTCCAGATAAGCAACTTATTAGGAAAGAGGCTGACATTTCTTTGGATTTAGCTTTCAGAGGGCTGCCCCAATTATTCAGAGTTCCTGATCCATGTTATTTAATCTGTAGTCCAAGGTCTTGACATAAACTAAAGTAATAGCTAACTAAATTACAAATCTGACTAACAAACATGACAGTTAACACCTTTAAATGGGTGACGTTATAAAAATGCTCATTCTTTGTTTCATTTTAAACTATACTCCTATGGAGTTGTCAGTTTTCTTTCTGACTCATTCTAAAAAGTCTACTTCAAGCTGGGCAGTATTCATTTTAAGTACCATGCTGTAAAGTTAAAATTAGCCAGGAGGACCAATTAATTTATCAGTTGAGTTCATTCAATTTCCTGTAGCTTATCAGAGTTGTGTACAATATAGTAATAGTTCTTTGTTCTTAAAGTGTGTTTCTGTTTTGAAAACTGACTCTGTAAAACTGGCATCATGGGGTTCCATGTTTATTGTCTCTCAGTGACCCGAGATCAAATTTCTTCATTCTACACGTGAAAAGATGGGGTTTAGCACCCAGCTCTGTAAACTCATTTTGGGATTTAAAAGTTAAATCTGGTGGTGGTTGTTTTCTAAAATAAATAAATTAATGGAGATATCCTATCTCCTAGAATGGACCTTGAAAGGTCATTGAGTCCAGCTCCCTGTCTTCACTAGCAAGACCAAGTACTGATTTTGCCCCAGATCCCTAAGTGGCCCCCTCAAGAATTGAACTCACAACTCTGGGTTTAGTAGGCCAATGCTCAAACCACTGAGCTATCCCTCCCCCCATGCATCACCAACAGTAAAGATTCTGCACTGGGGATTTAGTTAACAATTATCATTGTAGCACAGGGAGCTGGGGGGTGAGCGTGGGACACCCGGGCCATGACCTGACTATTTTTTGACCAGGCCAGACCTGAGTGCCACTGCAACCCCATGTGTCAAGTTGCAATGCTATTCACTCAACTAAAATTTGGCCCAGCTGCAGAGGGCGTAAGGGCTCATGAGTGGTTTGGTTGGTTGGTTGGTTGGGTGTGGGGGGGTCAGGATAGTGAGGTAGTGGAGGGGCCTGAGAGGAGAAGGAGGGAAGCAAATCTATGGGCCTCCCACTTTAAACTGCATTCCCCAGTCCCTGATTATTATTATTATAATGTATGAGCCAGATAGAATCCAGTTCTCTCTCCCTGAATACTAAACCATCTGTACATGCTGCAGCGGCATGATGTAATGGATTGGACAAAGAACTAGGAGCTAGTTTTTGAGGTCTAATCTCAGCCCTGTCACGCAGGCCTGGTCTACACACAGACTTGCACTGGTTTAACTAAAGATGTGTTTTTAAATTGATGTGGTGTAAGTTTGTGTAGAACTCTTATTTTGGTCTGAGTGATTTAGTACAGTTTAACTTAATCTATTTCTTCACAGCATCAGTCTCTCAGTTCCCTGATCTGTAAAGTGAGAACATTAATACTCAGGGGTTTTGAGGATTATTAATTAACTAATAACTGTATATTGCTTTGAAAAGGAATTGTTAAATTTTTAAATGACAGAAAGATGCCTGATACCTAGTGCAGTGGACAATCTGTGTATGAACTTAGGTGGAATTTGTCTTTGTGGTTTATTCTGTCTCCTAGTGTCCTATCTAACCAGAAATAACCAACCTGCACACAAGGTCCCCATAGTCTCTTACCTGCTACTGGGTATTTTGGCACTTCTGTGTGGTCTAGCTGCATCTGGAATACCACATGGATTGTTGGCTGTCAGAAGTACCTGTAAATGAACTCCAGGCCGCTCTTTCCTGAATTGTTTGTATAGGGCCAGACTGAGATGTCTTAACTCACATAAACAATTACCCCATGAATAGTCCCATTGATCTCAATGGGATAAGGTGCTACTCACCATGAATGGTTGTATAAACTAGCCCGTAATCATTCTGTGGCAAAGATGCATCAGTATGTTCCATCCTGTTTAAGGAGATGTGGTGCCGTGTGACAGCACAGTCACTAGAGACGGTTTTCCAATAGAAAGATGTCTGCAATAGTGTTGACCCATGCAGGAGTTTGGTCAATGTATGATAGGCACCAGTCTGTTCTAACAGAGATATGTGTGCAGGCAGTCAACAGGCCATGTGCATGGAATATGTTCGCTAAGACATAGTTCCCAGCCTGGAGTAATGAAGCAGCACTGTGTTCTGAGTTTGCATGCCTGTGGTTAAGAGGATATGCCATTTTTATTCTAGGTCTAAGTTGTTTAGCTAGATATTACACCATTAAATCAGGCTAAGCACTGCATGGAAGTGAAGAGACTCTTCTGTTTTATGTTGATAAGCAAGACACAGTAGCAAGACAAAAGGTACAGACAGTCCCTGACCCACAGTACCTGAACTATCTTATTCTTACTATGGGGAGTACTGCACGGGCTTAGGTAACATGATTTGCTTAAGGTATTATCTATTGCAGTGTAGCAAGTTTTTAAGGCCAGTCACAGTACAGCAGTCAGTGGCAGGCCCAACATGAGGGGGGAAGCAGATGGTAGCAGATGCGTGGTACACTGGGGCTAGGAAGAGAAGTCATCCATGGCACAAGGATGGGGGATGGAATTAGTAGCAGGTAGATGTGGGAAGTGGTCAGTGCTCAATCAGAATGTGATGGGGCTCGGAAGTGGATCAGTAGCAAAGTGGCAGACTCACCAGGAATAGCTACATAGGATTATTATCTAAACACCGATATTGCACTTTTTATCTATAGATATCCAATGGCTTCACAAAGAAAAGTAAGTGATGTTATCCTCCTTTTACAGACAGGGTCACAGATACAGAGAAATGAAGAGACTTGCCCAAGGTCACACAGCAGGTCAGTGGCAAAGCTGGGAAGAGAATCCATGATCTCCTGATGCCTGGTCTAGTGCCTGATACACAGGACCACAAAGACTCCCTGGGGGGTAGAGAGAGAGAATTCTTTGTCCCTCAGCTGTGCACTGGGAGACCGTTTCCTTGCTGCTCAGATCCAGCAGCGCCATGCACAGAGCCAGTCTGACTGGAGGTGGTGGTGAAGGGCAGAGCACGTTACAGACTGTGTGACTCAAATGCACTCTCTTTCCCTTCTTGTTTCTTTGTAATCCATTTCTGCTTGGGAAGGAATTAGGTCTCTGGAAAACATTCAAAGACTTTGTTGTGTGAACAGCAATACAAATAATAAATAAAGGGTCAGGAGGATTTCAGTGGTGAAAGCAACTTCTGTTCCCTGGTACAAGCTGATTGGTTGGGATGATTTCCTTGAAGCTATTTCTCCCTTCAGTAGGACTTACCACTCATATAAATACCCAGCACATAGTTCTGACTTCCACACTTCGCAGTTGGCTCTGGAAAGCTCAAATCCTTGATCAGGGAGAAAATGTCCAGCCAGTGAGTATCCCTATAGGCTTTTCTCTGGACTAGAGACTCGGTGCTTATTATTAATGTAGTAATTGTATTACAATAGCCCCTGGAGCCCCCGTTCTCAGGAAGGGCCCCTTTTTGTGCTAGGCACTGTACAGAGTAGCAGACTGTCCATGCCCTGAATAGCTTTCTCTCTAAATAGAGGACACAGACATGCGGGGAGGGAGGGGGGGCGGAAGGCGAGGGAGATAAAGCACATGAGCGGAGGAAGCAATGTAATAGGATGCAGATATCAAGTTAGTGCCACGATTGTTTGATTGTTTGTTTTTAAACTTATTTGGTGGAGTTTTGCTGGGAGGGAATTAGCTAAAAGAAGGGAGATGATACTAAGGGAAGGGGAGCATGGAGGGAGGCTGAAGGGGAGACTGCGGGGAAAGGGGGAAGCAAACAGCCAGTCAGCACAGGGGAGAGTTTTCCCAATGAAATCTATTGAGTGCTGATGATGCCACCAACTTCTGAAGGTGCCTGCTACAGCTGCTTATCTCTGCTCCTACTGGCTGGCTCCTCCCAGGAGATTTTCTTCCCCAAATTCAGATGGCTGAAGTGGGGGGGCATATGAAGCCTGATATCAGCTCTCCCCTTCTATGGGGAGTATTGGGGGAAGGAGTTACACTGTCTGGCTCCCTCCTCCATGGTGCAGCTGGATCTGCTGGATTTACTAGATACCTGAACATACCTACTGTGATTATTGCACGTAGCATCTTGTTGCAGCTTGTTAGATTCTCAGAAATGGAAACCCACTTCAGAAGTTGCAGTATATGGGAATAATTCAGCACTCGGCTCTCTAAGGAGCAATGTGATAGTTGTCATAGGCAGGGACTGACAGGGGACCTCCAGAGCTGAAAGCATAAGTCTCCACAACACACTCTGTAGCAGTTGGCTGTAGCAGACTTGCATCCTTAATGCATCAGGGAACACAGAGGGGGAACATTACAGTAGCACTGAGAGAAGGTGACCAGGTCCTAGAGAGTGGGCTGCATCAGAGTCGGGGAGGAATTTCAGTCTGTGTTTAGGGGTGCAGTATATTCTATCTATGCTAATGTGGATGTGCAGATTGTTCAGAGGGGTTACAGTCTGGGGAGGGGGGGCAGGAGGCTGGTCTGCACCTCTGGATGAGAGGGCAGGGCAGTGCAGTGCGGAGTATAGTCTATATTTAGAGTGCCTTGGATATTGTAGTCTGTACTTGGCAGGAGGAGAATCAAGTGTATGATTCTTAGCCAGACACACACATTACAGTTGGCAGCAAACAGCTGGCCTGGAAAATAGAACTTGTGACTCTTGGCACTAAAATCACAGCCCACTTCCCTGACCTCAGGGTTTCTCTACCCATTGCCAATAGTATTAGGGCTTTGCCCTGTTGCAGAGCAGCCACCAGGGGCTGAGGCATTCACAAACATTAGTTCAGATCTGATGCCCAGCAGTGAAGTCACATGATGACGCTCACTCTCTTTCTTCAGAGTCTCTGTGTTATTTTTAATCAGTTAAAGCAGCTCATCAGGCTTCCCCTCGGTTCTATTCAAACCTTCATTCTTCTGAGGGCCACTGCTTCTCCTCAAGCTGATTGTGCAGCTTTGTTAAGAGTTTGTGTGTGTGAGTCAGAAACTATCCCATCTAGAAACAAAGCCCTGTAACTCTGACACATTTCCAGAGCTCTTATCTAAGCTTTCTTAAAACTTTTCAGAATTGAGCACCCAGCTGGTGGATACAAGAAGCTTTTTGAGACCGTGGAGGAATTGGCTGCACCAGTAACTGCTCATGTCACAGGTTTGTGCATTTCTAATGCTTTCCTTTCACGCTTCCTCGGAACCCAGCGCTTCTCCCCAGGGTCACTGCATGCTGCTCACCTGATCCCGGGGTGCTGCACTGTGAGGTAAATGGGTTAAACATGTCACAGGGGCAGGAAGTACAGCGGCCTGTACATCTCAGGGTAGTGGAAGCAGGTGCTGCTGGACAAGCCCAATTTCCCTTTATACCCTGTGCTGTGATCCCATCAGATCTCTTAATCAAGCTGAGTCATTACCAGGACAGACCTGTAGGAACACCTAACAGCTGAAGAAATAATACTGACAGTTCCATAGGTCACATTCTTTTCTGAGAGTCAGTACTGAAATAATGCATGGCCCAGTATGCTGTTAGGAAGCACTGGACTGCTGGAGGTAACATCTTTCGGAGACATAAAACCTGACCTCTTGTGGTCATTTAATGATCCCATGGCATTTCTGTAAGAACAGGGATGGTAACTCTGCTGTCACACGCCAGCTTTGAGAGCAATGTTCTTCCTAAAATTGGCATTCTGCCTGTAAATTTCTCTTGCATCTTAACACGTGTGCAGTATTCTTCTTCACCTTTTTGTCCAGAACTATTGTCTGGTATTACTGTGCAATCTTAAGTAGTTGCTGCGTTTCACCTCAGAGGAGGCTGTATTTCCGTGGTGGATGAAGTAATCCCTCTATAAAGTTGTACATCAGACTAGTTAGGTTTGTAAGGTGACTTGGGATACTGTATAATGGAAGATCATTATACACCTCTACCCCGATATAACGTGACCCGATATAACATGAATTCGGATATAACGTGGTAAAGCAGGGGGGGGGGCGGGGCTTTGCACTCCGGCAGATCAAAGCAAGTTTGATATAACGCGGTTTCACCTATAACGCGGTAAGATTTTTTGGCTCCTGAGGACAGCGTTATATCGAGGTAGAGGTGTAGTTTTAATTGAGAATTCAAATCCATAGCTCACTCTTATACTAAATTCTAAGTTCCTTTCGTTTTTAAAACTTGAAGAGGAGGTGGAAAGAGATTGGAATTCAATAGATATTTAAAAAAATCTTCTACATTAAAAAACAAAATCTGCTCCTTTGCATAATAACAATTTGCTGATTTATTTAGTTCCATACTTGGGTTTATTCTATTAAGTCTGCAGAATAAGAAAAAAACTGATCTCAGACATTGGAAGAGCCCAGTATTCCTTGTTAAAAGAAGAGATTAATAAACATAGGGAGAACTCAGATTGAAAGAGGGATGGTGCACTTGGAATTAGCATTCACAAAATTACCTCTCGATTACCTTTCCTATAGGCAGGATTCCCATATGGCTTACAGGCAGTCTGCTTAGATGTGGGCCTGGCTTATTTGAAGTTGGTTCGGAACCATTTTATCATTTGTTTGATGGCCAAGCGCTTCTTCATAAATTTGACTTTAAGGAGGGACATGTCACATACCATCGCAGGTAAGTGCAAAACATCAAAGCAAATATAAAGAGATAAAATACAAAATGTTAGGGCCACATTCTGTCCTCTGACGCCTGCAGGATTCACCTTGACTTCAAATCGGTTAGCTGATTGTAAGATCTCTAATGCTGGGATTATTATAATTTGTTAATAATGGTAATATCATCATATTTATGCTTAGCACCAACATAACACTTTCCATTTAAAGATTACAGAATACTTGCATTTTGCAAGTGGATCATTTTACAGATGAGAGAACGGGTAAAGAAGGAAGTTAAGTGACTTCCTCTGAGTCAGTGACAGAGCTAGGACTCATGATTCTCAATCCCAGGTTTTAATCACTAGACAAATCTGCCTTCCTTTAGTTAAATAAAGTCCTCTGTGAAAATTGTTGCAATGTCCTACAGCAATGGTCAAAACCCTGTAGCTTAGCCTCTTGTTAGTGCAGAGTTTTGGACCATTACTGTAGAACACTGTTGTCGTTCTTAATCAGGGGTTCTATGCTTGCACCCAAAATTTACTGCCACTTTATATTCGACAAAGTATATAAGTACCTGTTTCAATTTGGCAGGATCAGCATTTGTTTGATATTGAAGGTCCAGAGACTTGACTGGCATTCAAGCTGATCAATCCAGGATACAAGATGATTAGGGCTGGTTGAAAATTTTCCATTGAAACATTTTTCAACAGAAGGCATTTTTAGTGGAGAGTGTCTGTTTTCCTTGAAGTGTGTGCGTGTGTGAGAAAACCAAAAACTGAACATTCTGTGGGTTTTGGTCAGGCAAAATCTGCCAAAAACCAAAAAAATTCAACTGAAAACTGAACAGTTTAAAAAATAATTCAGTTTGGGGGTTTCCATTTTTTGTTGAAAAGTTGAGACTTTCCAAAGAAAAAAACCTCTGTCCAGGTCTGAATAGGACATCTGAGCTTGCAAGGAAGACATGACTGATGCCATTCTGGAAAACCACTAAGAAAAGTCTCAAGTCTGCAGTCCTTAGGCAAAATTCCCATTGAAGTCAAAATCTAAGACGGGTTCCAGTTTACCTGGTCATCAACTTCCCAGGTGTTTCCCATGTCTGAGCATTTGGGAAGTGAGAGAAGCAGGTTTCAGAGTTGTATACTCTTGAAATGTGACATGACCCTCTTGATAGCAGTAATATGTTTATGAAACTCAGCTCTTTAAACTTCACATCAAGTTTCATTTAAATATTTTTGGGATTTGTTGTTGTTTCATTATATAACACTGTAGCCATTTTTGTCATCATGTGCATTACATCCCTTCTATTTCTTTGCTTTCTCTAGATTCATTCGGACTGATGCTTATGTAAGAGCAATGACTGAGAAAAGAATCGTGATAACTGAATTTGGCACCTGTGCTTACCCTGATCCATGCAAGAACATATTTTCCAGGTGACTGAGAAAGTTGCATGTTGTAGGAGAGTGACAGGTTTTCGGTGTCATGGTTTGAAAGTCCCACTGTCATTGATCATTTGTTGACTTTGTTTGCCTAGGTTTTTTTCATACTTCAAAGGTGTGGAGGTCACTGATAATGCCCTGGTTAATGTGTACCCAGTGGGTGAAGATTACTATGCCTGCACAGAGACCAACTTTATCACCAAGATTAACCCAGAGACTTTGGAGACAATCAAGCAGGTAGATATTTGTACTTAGGGTATGTCTACACTACCCACCGGATCGGTGGGCAGTGATCGATTCAGCAGGGATCGATTTATCACGTCTAGACTAGACGTGATAAATCGACCCCCAAGCCCTCTCCCGTCGACTCCTGTACTCCAGCGCCATGAGAGGCACAAGCAGAGTCGATGGGTGAGCGGCAGCAGTTGACTCACCGCGGTGAAGACACCACGGTAAGTCGATCTAAGTACATCGACTTCAGCTACGTTATTCACGTAGCTGAAGTTGTGTAACTTAGGTTGATCGCCCCCAGTGTAGACCAGGGCTAAGAATTTAAAAATGTGGAGGAATGAAAAATAAAATGAAGACTATCAGCAGCACATTACAGATGGGTAATATCCAAGGTATTACCTGGAATGGGCAGTTTTAATAATGATATCAACTAGCTTGATCATTTATTAAAGTGGTTCTGAGGCATCATGGAAAATGGGACAATGTTCTCTTCACAGCATGCTGCCTACATCATGCTTGCAGATGGAAATAGGATCTGTGTTTTAAAGAGTTTTCTCTGCTCCTCTTATTAATTCCTCCCTTGAAATCAAAGGATTCTGTTAAAATTCTGCCTTACAAACTGTGACCAAAGTGCATCTTCATGTACAAAGTAGACACCTGTGCAGGTGAGGAGTGTGACTGGGATCCATGACCTTGGTGATGAAAAATGAAAGGCCAACTCTACAGATAAGAGTGATGTCCATGGGCCTATTCACAGCAGAAAGCAATATGCCAATCATGTTTGCAAGACTGGGCCCTAAGCTAGGTGCACCTGCTGTTGATCTGTCTAAGTACTTGTAGACTGTATTATCTAAGCACGTCAAATAGAAATGAATTTACTGCACCTCTTTATTATTATTATTATTATGGCTGGCTTAAAATTTTCCATTGAAATTGTTTTTCAATGGAAAATTGGGTTTTCACCACAAAATTACATGTTTCATAAAGAAGTGTCTGCTTTCCATGGAAAATGTCATTTTTATGTCAAAATATTCTGGCCAAAAACCTAAACTTTTCAGCTGAAAACTGAGAGTTTGGCTACAAATGAGCATTGTGGTGCTTCACGGAAGCTGTAGTTTGCTCCTCGTGGTTCCATTTCTTCTATGGGCTGGGATCCCCAGTTGAACTACATCTCTCATAATGCACCATAGCCAGGCACTCCATGTTCCACAGCTTCTCCTCACCAAAAAGTGAGACTGTGAGGCATTATGGGAGATGTAGTCCAGTTTGAGGGTCCAGCCCACATAGGAGAATAGGGATATGAGGAGCATAGCTCCCATGACATACTACAACCCACATTTGCAGCTAGCATCTTTTGATTTCCAGTTTTCACCAAAAACATAAAAGATTTTCCATGGACATTTTGACAAAAATTAATATTTTTTGTTTGTGTCAAAAATGTTCACGGGGTAAAAAAAAACTGGATCTGTTCTATCATCCTCTTTTTGGAGATGGGAAACCGAGGCACACAGAGACTAAGGCTGGCATTTTTCAAAGGATTCTCAGAGTTGAGTGCTCAAAATCCAATGAAATTCAGTGGGTGTTGGGTGCCGTCCTCCCTTCAGTGATTTGTCCACACAGGAAGTCTGTGTCAGATGTCCAGTTCAGTGCCTTTATCCCAAAGCCATCCTCCCCGTAGGACCTCGTTTGAGTAGCATGGCAATGAAGACACAGCTAGTGAGCAATCCTTAGTATGAGCCAGTGACTGCCATTCAGCCATGTGCTAATGGAGTCCCAGTGCTCTGGTGACAGGGCAAAATGTTCACTGAACACACAATTGTACTGCTGGTCTCTGGCCCCTCGGGTGGAGCCATCGTTGTGCTTATTGGCTTGCTGTCTGTTTTGCCAGGATATTTTGTTTTTGTAATGGCTGTCACAAGAACAATATTCCTGTGCAGCCACCTGCAAATCTGAGTGCATGAGCTGATATAGACTTTGCAGACCCTGGAAAGTAGCACCAGAGTTAAGGTGAAGGGGGCTGCTTTAATCTTAGACATTACGATCAGGTCCCTTACACCCATTTATACCACTGCAGCATGGAAGTATGAGCACACCTCCATTTTCACTCTCTTCTGGCACTCCACTCCACCCCATCCCCAATTTAGCGGACCTTTCAGTAGCTCATAGGGGGATTACAGCAGGGTACAAATCACATTTCTATGTCAAGGCCGACAATTGAATCTAGTGTGTTGTTTCTTTGATCAGAGCTAGAGGTTTTGGGAAGGATTCTGACCCCCCCAAGTGGAGAGATGCAGAATGCAGAACTGTCTCTAACCTGAATGCCATCTTCAACAGCTTATCCGTGAGACATTAAAGCAGTTTTTTATTTTTAAACTCTTTGCCTTTGGACCTCACAGTTCTACATACAGAGCTCCTCTTGACTTTAATGGGAGTTGTGTGCATGCCGTTGCTGCTATTTCTCTAAATATTTGTAGATGATTTACCTCGAGGTGTGAAATGAGAACATTCCTTAGCTAAAATAACAGGACACTCCCAAGCCAAGTACTTCATTACATTCATAATGATAAGTATATACCTCCTCCAGATAAAGCTTATGATTCACCCCACGTCACCTCTCTCTCTCATTCTTCAGGTGGACCTTTGTAAATATGTTTCAATCAATGGCGTAACTGCTCACCCCCATATTGAAAACGATGGGACGGTTTATAACATCGGCAACTGCTTTGGAAAAAATTTTGCAATTGCCTACAATATTGTACGGATCCCTCCACTGCAAGCAGGTTAGTTTATATATTGCTTAAAAGCAATGTCTGTGCCCTTCAGACATTCAGGCTGTAGAAATCCCTTCAGGTGCCGAATTAATCTATCACCTTTGTACGTTGCATCATTTTTCAGTATTCAGATGATTTTTTTATTTGATTTTTTCTTTTCTGTCCCTTCCTTATCTAACTACAAATTTTTATAAGAAACTTTTTACAGATGTTGTTCTTTAAAAAGACAGTACATGTTATTTTCAGAGAATAATACTTCTCGTGTTAAAGGCCAAAAACTTTCCTAGCTAACATTTTGTAGCATGGGCTTACTGAGCCATTCCTGGGGCAGCTTCCATAATCATTTAAATACTATTTTTATTTCAGACAAGAAAGATCCAATGAACAAGTCCGATGTGGTTGTGCAGTTTCCTTGCAGCGATAGATTTAAACCTTCCTATGTGCACAGGTAAATTGTAGGCCATTTCTGTAAACAGCACAGTGAAATATATAAACCAGTTCTGTATGCAGCAAAGTGAGACTTTCTTGCTGTGAAACCTGTATTTCATACCTTTGAGCCACATTGGAAAACAGCCATTTCTAGCAGAGAACTCACTGTCATTTATTCAAATAACACAAAAGGTATAATTGTCCTGTGATGTGGACAGATATATTTTGCACAACGTTTGACTGTTTTTTTTAAACATGGTTTATTCAAATGCTTTTGCTGTTTTATACATGGGAAGCAGAACTGCTAAGCATGCGGTAAACGACAGTTAACATTAAGAATTTGCAGATATCAGGAGGATTATGTTCCAATAACATTAAACTGACTTTTAAATGAAGCAGCCACTATTTGACAAGCTACCATTCTGTGTATAAACATACTGTTGTCAGAAATCACCACAAGCAAACTTACAAGCTCCAACTGTATTTCTGAACAGCTTTGGGCTGACTCCAAACTATATAGTGTTTGTGGAAACACCAGTGAAAATTAACCTGCTCAAATTCCTTTCTTCTTGGAGTCTGTGGGGAGCCAACTACATGGATTGCTTTGAGTCTAATGAAACCATGGGGGTAAGTGAAATTGCATTGCATTGTTACATACTGGCCACATGTGAGGTTGTGTCATGTTAAATATACCTCCACTATTTCTCATGTGCCAAAAGCAAAATGCTTCTTTGTTTTCCAGGTCTGGCTTCATGTAGCAGATAAAAAAAAAGGAAAATACCTCAATATCAAATACAGGACCTCGGCCTTTAACCTCTTCCATCACATTAATACCTATGAAGACAATGGATTTCTTATTGTGGATCTCTGCACCTGGAAGGGGTATGTAAGAGCGCTCAAGTGATTGCCGGCAGGGCTATTGGTAAATACAATCTAGAGATGTGCTGAGAGAAATCTTGCACTGAGAAGGGGATGGGATGGGCAACCTAATGGGTCTTTCCCGTATCTAATTGCTATTATTTGGGGCCTGATTCTCGGCGATTGACATTAGTGAGATTTTTGTCATTTTCTTCAATCAGAGTAGGATTGCAAACCAGGAATGGATGGATGATTTTGTCATCCAAGGCTATAAATCCATTCTGACTGAAAAAATACCTGGCTTGTCTGGATAATCCAGCAGCAAGTTTGTTTTCTAAGGAACCAGGGATAACCACTACACTGAGGGTATGTCTACACTGGAAATGCAAGTTGACCTATATTAAGTCGATTTACAGCCACTTCGGTAATTACTGCGGTAGTGCATGTCCACACAACCCTTCTTGGGTTGGTGGTGCACGTCCTCACAAGGAGCATTTCCACTGACCTAAGAGCCCAGTCTCTCAGCTCCGCTGGCAGTCGCCTGCCAGGAGCTCAGCTGCACCACAGTCTCCCGGGCTCCTGGAGGGCTGCCCCCCCCCCATCTGGTCCCTGTTCCCCGTTGGGAGCGAGGAAAGCTGCCTGGTGCTTCTCCCCTCCCCATTCCCTGCTGGAAGCTGCCCCGGGCTTCTTGCCCCCAAGGAGTGGGGTCCAGCTGCCCTCGCTTCTTGGGCCTCCCATACCCCCCACCCGCTCCCCACCAGGAGCTGGGCAGCCTTGTCAGTTTCACGGCTCATCCAGTCATGAAATTGACAAGGCTGCCTGCCTCCCAGCAGGCAGGGAGGTGAGGAGCCCCAGCTGCCTTATGTCAACCTAACTGTGTAGTGTAGCCCAGCCCTTCATAATTTTGACCTGGAAGTATCTAAGTATAATCAGTTTTAAAGCAGAAAGCTGAAGTGACATCTCCTCATAAAGTACTGCGATGCTGTGATCTGGTTAAGGAAAATAAGTTGGCAGACTGATTTTTTTGTTCAGACTAAAAAATAACTGGGTTTCAGGGCAAATGTTAATTTTTAAAAGCAAAATATTATTTTCCTGAAAGTGATAGAATTTTGTGGCTATGTGACTGTTTCATTACAATATGTGAAAAATCTTACTTTTTGATGTCAGTTCCTGCAGGGCACTTAGGTATTAGCAATGAAGTAAGGCTCTGATTCCCCCAAGCTGACCCACAAGAAATGGGATCTGTCTGTGGGGAATCAGCTTCCAGGGTCAGGGCTTAAAGCAGGACCTGATTTTTAACTATCTTCTTTCAGAATGTTCATATTGATCACTTTTGGTTTACACAGATATTCAGTTACTAGTGTGTGCGGAGGATTTTGTGAAGTTTTTATAACTGATTTACCAGTGCTTTCAGTTCACTGTTAACTTTAGTAAATGGTATTCATTGTTAGTCCAGTGGGCACAAATCTGGATTAATTTTGTCAGGATGATAGGCAATAGTCACAGAAATACAGAAATAAATCTGTCAGCGTAGACTTTAACTTTCCAGCAGTGATTCTGCACCATGGCCACTCAAAACTTCATGGTGACAGCAAGTACAGACGTGGGATTATCCTGCTCCAAAAGTAGCTAACTCTATCGAGCCTGTGACATGCAGCAGAACAG